TGTTTAAAACAAATTACTTTAATATAATTAAAAGAGCAATTCAAAAAAATTTTATAAAAATCCTAAAAAAAAAATAATTAGTGTGTCGTTATATTACTAGTATATAAAGATGCAGGTAAAATTAATTCGCCAAATTTCACCAATTTTACGTACGTACAACAGTGCTGAAATTATTTTACCACTCTAAGTTTACCGGTATCTTTATTCCCCCCTTTCTTTGAGATAATCAGCCCAATAATCATCCCAATACTGTGCGATATCAAAGTGTTCCCCTTTTTCTCCGTCCTTCGGCAAGCCTACCAAAGGTTTAGTACATAAAATAATGATAGTGTTTATTTTTTTAAAAAAGGAAAAGTTATGCTGTAAAAAATTGCAGAAAATTAATTTTTATGATCTTTAGTTTATATATTTGATACCATTTTGAATGACTTCAGCTTCAAATTTTGGTTCCTGAGTCGAGAAAAATGCGGAATAATCTTTGGGCATTTGATTAAAGCTATTTTGCGACATTGCTATGATTGTTGTAACATAATTATAAAAAATAAGTTTAAGCTACTAAAGAGAATGCTAGAAGCTAAATTCATCTTCTTACATGGAGACTCGTATTGAGGCAACCAATAAGCCAGGTCGATATTAAAATGGCTGTTGTCTCCGTTAATCATTGATTCTGACAATGGTTGGCTAACTGAAGCTATTGTCGCAGACCATTAATAAAAATAAAAGGATTGTATAGTTGTAAACAAGAATACTTAAAGTTTTTCTCACATTCACAGAAATCGAATGAGACTGTTTTATTTTGAATTTTTTCTGATAACTGGAGGTTTTGTTTCCTTTCATAATCTTCACCCTTGTCTCCATTAATCATCACATCTTCGATCGTTTTCCTTTGTAAAACTATAAATGTCATTATGAAGACATACAGTAAAAGGACTAATAAGTATATACAAAACTATATATTAATAATGAAAGTCATTTCTTGAACTCGGTTTCTTACAGGATTGGTACCCAAATGTTCCATATTGAACGTTTTCAGGTAACTGCTGAGTATTTGCGTTCAAACAATGTAAACCTTGAGGATGCTTATTTTTTTGCTCTTTAGAGGACTTATTTGACGGAACTGTGACTACTGCAGTTGGTATTACTTAAAATATATAAAAGACTTAATACGTACGTAAAATTAATACATGATATTAATGAAAGTTGTATTTTTAAAAAATCTTGTTTACTTACACAATCGAGGCTTAGGTCCCCTTTTATTAGTATTCTCTGGTGTAACACATTCTTCTCCCTTTCTGATACAAGCCTCGCAATTTGGACCATTATCCTTATTGCATTTTGTTTTTTTTCTTTTACACCGGATACAAGAACGATCTACATATTTGTTTCGTTTATTACCCATGGGTATAAGCATACAGACAGGTTAATTATCTGACCTTTTATAAGTTCAGCTTGAATGTATGAATGCTAACCATTTATGATGACCTAGCATAATTATTCAAATAAGTTTATTCTACAAAGAATATATTGGAATACCACTTTTATACCACTTTGCGTGTATTGACCTACCTTCTATGTATTTGAATTAATTGATTCTTTTGTATATT